ACATACACACGAATAAATTAAAAAAAAAACCTAACTTTTAAAGTCAGTTTTTATGAATACTTAATGTTTGGTAGAAATAGCATTAATTTGTTTAAACTGTATGAATAAAGGTTATACTTAAGAGAAAAAATAATCCTTTAAAATTGTTTAGTACTGAGATCCTCCAATGCAGAAGTGATGGGTTGTCTGGATCTGGCTACCCCAAGAACGTTCCTATATTTTCCTTGTGGGTTTCTCATTCCACCTAATCAAACACTGCACATAAGACCACACGTCTCCCTTGGGCCCTAAAGCTTGCTCTATGCCAAGTTCCCAGGAAGGTGTTTGATTCCTTCTCATCTTAATTGTCTATCACAGAAGAATCTCAGCTTTGCTCCCCAAACCAGACACTGAATTCTTTAATTTCTTAGAAAAATGAATCTTTAGGGTTTTTTTTTTTTTTTTTTTTTTTTTACAAACTAATTCTCTACTTACTAGGTACTTAAATGAAACATCATGCAAAACACATAATAGCACTATATCTAAAATTTCTAATAAAACCTCTGAAATGAGCAGGACAGAAATAGTAATGCAATTTTAGAGTATTTGAGGAACTCACACAAAGTCCATTAATATAAGAGGTACATAAATAAATATCAGCTAACAAATCCCATCGTCTTAAAGAACTTTCATGATTATCTGTACTGGCAAAACCAGCAAATCTAGCTTCATGCTAATGTTTAAAACTAAACAATGAAGCAAAAGAGATACAATTTTAATGAAAAATAAATTTAAAATATTTATAAAAACATGAAATAAAGGATTCTTCCAGTGGGGTGGGACATCTTCATTTTATTTTGCTGAATGTGATAAGCTCTCATAAGTGTCTCAATATCACTTTATCCTTACACTACTTGATTGAATCTTTGGTTTTATTATATTCTTCTCCTCAAGAGTTTTGAGAGTAGAAATGTAGCTCAGTGTTATAGGTCTAGCATAGGATGTAGAGGCTCTGGACTCATCCTCAATAATGCAAAAAGTGTGTGCACAGAGGGTGGCTTTGTTGAAGCCATTTTATTTGCAGCAATGAAGTTTGGCACTAAAGGCATCATCTAAGTTCTGAACACTGATCCAACACTAACTCAGCTTGAAGAGGAATTCTTACTGACCAAACCCTACAAATATTTATTTTACACTCAAATTTCCCCTGTAAAGTCTAATTTCTCCTATACTCCCAATGAACACAGTATATTCACACTTCTTCCAAAGTAATCACACACCAGAATCAGTATAATCACAGGCAACATTTTTATCTTTTCCTTCTAACTTCTCTGGAATATCACAAACATGTAAATTTTAAATAATATATTTTTTATTAATTTCTATTCAATATCTGTTGAACATATTCCTTCTCCTCCTCCAAACTTCCCTCAGATTCTCACCATTCCCTACCCACCCAACTTCAATTCTTTTTATTTTTTTAATCCCAGTTTATTCTCTTGTTTTAAAGACAAGTACCACCATCATATACCATTTCCTTATACAATGTCTCATCATTTTGTTTTTAAATGCTACTTATATAGTTCCAACTCATGTTTATTAATGATTACATTATTTACAGAAGGGATTTGTCATCATTTCCACTTTTTGCTAGCCAATATTCTTCTATATTTTTTGTCACCCCAAATAAGCATCATATTAAATATCCATATATATATGGATATATCTGAAGTTTTAGAAGATACGTCCAAACTTGCAAGGATTCAGTACTCTTACCGGGTATTTAAAATGTCACTTCCAATGCCAGTGCACACAAACAGATCATTTGACCAAGGAAAACATACAGCAACTCACTTCCTTTTTTGGAATAAAAAAATGAGGATTTCCCTAAACCTTAACCATTAGCTAGAATAAAATATTAGTAGTTTTTTACACTGGTATACTTGACAGAAACAAATGAGAATTGGTTTGTATTTAAAATTCAACATTCACAATGCATGCATCCAAAGGTAAATACATAGCCATGCTTGTTTACATTTTCTCCAGTGAATTTCATGCTTATGTTCTCCTTAGTGTTCTAGTCTTTTCTGTTCTTTTTTTTCTTCAACATCAAGAGTTATATTATATTTATCAATTTTTGTTACACTGTGGCATATATTTCCTCTTGGGTATTTTTCTACTTTTAACCAAATAATTTTTATTTTCATTTTGTGTATGAATGGTTTGCTTGCCTATATATATGTACACCATATGCCTGGTACCTGCAGACATCAGAAGTGGGCGTCAGAACTAGACCTGCAGAGACCACTGTGAACTGCTATATGAGTGCTGAGAATGGAACCCAGATCCTCTGAAATGAACAGCCAGTGTTCTTAACCACTGAGCCATCTCTCAACCCAATTTTATACTTTTTAATGTATAATTTACTTTCTATTGTTAATACTCCACTGCCTCACATCCTACACATTCCCTAATAATTTGTCTTTTCTGCCTAAAAGTCACCATTATCTTATCTCAACTATCTCCCCCAATTTTTTCAGATATGCTTATTTTTCATGTTTATGGCTATAGTATTCTCTTAGGCATTTTTCTATATATTATAAAGCAATAACTTTAATTTTATTTGAGATGTTCACACTGGTATCATTCAAGTGCTCCTCTGGACTAAACTGAAATACTAACAAGAGAGGAATCGGGCTCCAACTGACATCGGAACCTGTTATAAGCCCTTCATTATGTCCTACTCAGATAAGTCTTTCTATTTCCATGCACTTGATACCACTGTGATTAGTTTGTTTGGCGAAGTGGATTCTATCTTTCTTTCAACCTTCAAATATTCATACATCTATGTGATCTTAAAAATACTGTTTGTCTACAAAAATAACCAGATAGACGACACTGGCTACAACTGTCTAAACTTGGGCAGGGTATATGACTCAGTATAGTGATTTCCTAGCATGCAAGAAACCCTGGATTCAATCACCAGAATCTCATAAGCCAAGTATGTTCATACATACTTGTAATTCTAGCCCTTGTAAAGTAAAGGCTGGAGAATCAGAAATTCAAAGTCAATTTCTTTAGACACATAATGAGTTTAAGCCAGACTGGGTTACATGAGACTATATCAAAACAACAATTAAACAACTGTCTAACTTTATGTGTCTCTTTGGGAGATGGCAATAGTGTGATGACCTGAAGTTTCTCTACACAGGGCCTTGACTTGGCATGCCTTTTCACTCACTCTAAGCTATACTACTGGGTCCCACAATAAAACACTGTATTTGTCATTAGACAAGTCTTACAATTTTCTTGTTAAATGTTCACCCCCCATTTTATATTTTATCAGTGTCTCAGGAAGACTTCCAGATCAAACCCAAAGAAGACCAGGGTAGTTAAACTGTCGTGAGGAAGTACCTTGAGTTCCAGGACTGGCACAAACCCCCCGCTGGGCTCCCATGGCCAATCTTCCTTAGAATGATCAGAAATAGGATCTTCACTAGCAAACTCATGGAGCAGCACAAGCTGCTACTTAACATCTTCCCACTCTAGACTATCAAATCGATCTACTCAGCTCTCCCTGTAGACCTATTAAGCTGCACACTTCCTGAAGCGGGGCCTGGGGTGGGGGCAACGTCTGATGGTACCATTGATCTTTCCTGTCAATGGCATCCCCTACAGCTTTACTAACAGACTGACATGCGGGCTTCCTACACTTATCTAATCAGCCCCACTTATTAAACATTATCCTCTGCAACCTTTCAGTTTGCATACAGACCAGTGACTATTCTTAACTGCCCCGCCTTCGGGCTGTGCTCCGCCACACTGTTCCTGCTGTTAGTTGTGTCTCTTTTCTGCAATGCTTTTGCTAAGCCAGCATCATGGAATAAAACAACTCACACCCAAAAGAAAGAGGGATAAGGCCCATAGAGACTAGGGTGTGAAGGAGCAGAGAGGCAAAATCCTGGGCAACAAAATATAATTGAACAAAAGAAATTAGTCTAATGTTCTACAACATCACAGGGTAACTAAAGTCTGCAAGAATTCATTGCTGACTTCAAAACAACTGGAAGAAAATAGCTTGAAATCATTTCACGGGTAGAAATGCTTATTATCCCATCTATAGATTATACAGCACATGTTTCAAGTTATAATGCTGTATCCTCTAAATAAGTACAAAAGTTACATGTCAACTACATTTTGTTTTTAATTAAGAATCCTGCTTTATTCCCTAGACTATGATCAGAAGAAAATACGAGTCTCCATCCAGATTTCTGTAATCATTTAGCATCCTTGATTTACAAGAAACATAGTTTTCATGAAACAGTTTCTTTTTAAGTCTCAGACTTGAATTTTATTTATTTATCCATTTTTATAGTGATGTCATATCTGAGAAATCAATCAGATTTTGATGACTTTGACAGGGAAAGTTGTAGAATTTTTCCTGTATTGTAATTAATATGTTTTCTATGATGAATTCTATTGATGTTCCTTAAACTCTCAGGTATTTATTTTTCCACACAATCTTTAATAGACCAGTGTAATCCAGTTACCCCCGCCAAAAAAAATGACTAACCATGAAAAGTAAATAAATAAATAAACACCAGGAAGTTTATTTTCCCTTCACCTACTGAGATACTACTCAACTATTATCAATATATTCTCAATCTTTAGCTTTTCAGATAATTGTTGACGGTTTATTAGCCAATATTTTGGCATACCAACTATTTGACCTGAAACCTCCAATAACAATAAATGTCAAGTTAATCAACATATCTTCCAAAAATTATCTCCATAAAAGTGTTCTCTTCCTTATGGAATATGTTAGATTATGTTTATAAGAAAAGCCACCTAAACCACAAGTAACAGCATGAAGTCAAAAACAGTTGTAACCATATTTTAGTATTATTTATCTAATGAGCACTAACATGGCATTATGCTCAAACAATGTAACCATCAATGTTCCACCAAAGAAGCAATTTTTACATGCCCCCATGAGTGAGACATCACTGGAATGCTCCTACCTGTTCTTTGACGGAGGCGAGGATGGCAGAGGTGGTCTCTGTCTCAGAGCCGTCCCCATTGGAGGTGTTTAAGCCTGGGCTCAAGGAGCTGGTCTTCTCTGAGGCTGAAGAAGGCTGGTCTGGGACAGGCATAGCTCCTGTAACACAAGAGGACACGCTCAGACCAGCTGGACATCATTGCAAACAGACACAGCTACAAGGTCTACAGTTGGAGGAACGAAAGTTACAGGCTGTCCCAACTCGTGGGACATAACTCTCTAACAAGGAGCAGTGAAGTCAAACAGAATGTCACTCTGTAAAAAACCCAACCAAGTCTGAGGCCTTTGTGCCCTTTCATCTTTTATGTGGGACAGTAAATGGTGATAAGGTAGAAGCAAGATAATTAGGATGAAAAAAAGGTATAAAACATTGAGTCGAAGAATCTAGTCTACTTACAGACTGACATGTGCCTTACACAAACACACTACTCGACTGGTATGTTTTCAAGATAATCTATAATCCCCTTTATAAGAAAACTCACACAATGTAAATGACCAATTATTAACAATAACTAAAGGGATACCCCAAAAGAAGTTTGGTTGGTACTGTGAGATACAGAAAACAGCTGGTTCTTCCCCCAAATAGTTAAGTTCATACCCTGACAGAGAGCAGACAACACCTCTTTAAAACCAGCAGGGACCTTTTTTTTCTAGTTTATTTTGTTCAAGCTTAAGAAATAAATCAGAAACTCAACTCACGTTAATACCAATGCAAAATGGACACACTGGTCCAAGCTAAAAACTAGATTCTCCAAGGTTATTTTTGTTCCATTATATATTGGTCAAACTCACACAGATTCAAATTCTTTTTACATCTTTAGGTAATGGCATGAAGTGGTGGGGCCTCTGGTAATTGATTAGGCTATTAAGTAAAAATTCTCATGAGTATGTTGGTGCTATGATAACGTGGCCCAGAAGGGACCCTTCCCTCTCCCACCACAGGAAAACATAGTGAAAAGAATCATCTATGAGCTAGGACGTGGGGCCTCACCAGACACTGACTCTGCTGTGCCTTGAACTTGGGCTTCTTGAGTCTCTGTAACTATGAGAAACGACGATGATGATGATAATAATGATGTGTGTGTGTGTGTGTGTGTGTGTATGTGTGTGTGTGTGTGTGTTTTAACAGTGCTGAGGATTGATCCCAGGGTCTTTTACAAAGCAGGCAAGCGCTCCATCACTGGCAGCCTGAATGGATTAAGACAAAGACTGCTCTGTCAGGCATATATCTCCTCTAGCAAGGATCTTTAACACAGAGACCACCAGAAGACTAACACAAAGTTTAACCACAGCATCCCAATAAAAGGCTAAGGAAAAGTAAAAGTTATTTTCATACCAACACAACAGTATTGCATGTTCCTCTGGGACCAGTGCTGTTCACATATCCAAAGGTATTTTTTAGGACCCCATTCTGAGTATCCTAGCTTTGATACTGAGGCAGAATTCCTACAGATGCTCTTATTCTATATTATGTGTTACAGTTGTTTAATAATATTGGATTATAAATACCTGAGAAAGCCCACTTAAGCCCCACTTGACCCAAAATATATAATAAAAATGTGTCATTCAAATCCTCACTGTCAACCAACCAACTCCTGAAGTAAGTTACTTATAATATCATTTGGGAGAACAGGCTAGCATTGGAAAATAAGCCCATTGTAAACAGAACACATGAGCGTGTTTAGGAGAAACATTAACAAGACAGAATTTTATGGTGATATTTTATTTGTACTGAAATGTGATTTTATTTGTATGTTAATAAATAAAGTTGCCTGGGGGTCAGAGCTAAAAGCAAGCCATAGCAGAGCTGGGCGTTCATGGTGCATGCCTTTAATCCCAGCACTTGGTAGGCAGAGCTAGGTAGATCTCTGTGTGGTCAGGGATACAGCCAGCATTGGAGACACGCCTTTAATCTCAATAGCAACCATAGAAAATCTGGAGGTCTGTACAAACAGGCAGTGACGAGGCAGTCATGTGGTTGGGTTTACAACCAATGAGAAGGCAGAACAGAAAGTCTATATAAAGACAAACACACAGGAAGTAGGTCTCTCTTGGCTGAAGTGGCTAGCTGCAGCAGACGGGTAAGGCTCTTAGCTCTGATCTCTTGGCTTTCTTCTTTGCATTGGTTCTGTGTTTCTTATTTTAATAAGATGGTTGGTTACATCTACAGAATTTGAATACACAATATCATCAGCACAAATACGACTAGGGGAAATGCAGCTATAGCTGACATGTTCAAGATGTCTGTTCAAAAGGATGGAAACCAACAGAATGGATGCTACCTAAATGACTATGGTGGGGTGTTGTGAAGATCACCCGAAACGTATCTATCTATGCATTTATATCACTTTCCTGTGTGCTCTCCTTTTCTGACCAAGTCTCTTGATTATGTAGGATGTAGACATTTAGGTCAACAGATGCATCCAGGTAAAGTAGTAAGACCTCTGGCCTTAGAATTGGGAGATGCTTCAGAGAGGAAGGAGGCAGCAACACAGAAGAGTAAGAAAGAAAATGTCACATCTGAGAGACCCACTTCTGACCCTGACACTGGACCCTCCACCAGTGCCCATGCAGGCGGCTTCCACAGAATTACACAGAAGCACTGAACTCTGAGAAAGTTGGAGCCTTGCATACTTTAACTCACTATTCTAAATTTTATGCTCTCTAAACTTCATTCAATCCCCATTAATTCAGGTCCAAGGCTAGTGTTACCATCAGTGTATCTTCTGGGAGAGAAACTGTCTGAGGTCTCAAAATTACTAAGAAGCATAAGTGGGGCAGAACTCAGCTTTTCTGTCTTGGCATTCCTACTTTAGTACCTTTTGATATGTCTACTTCTCACAACCTGGAATGCATCAGAAATGCCAGTCTATCAACAAAGTTTTATAGAACGCATTTCTTAAAAGTATAGCAGTGTCCTATCTGAATAAAATATGATGCTTAGTAGGCATTCAACTAAGTCTTACCCTTTGATATTTGATCCAAATAGCATAAGAGATATATAGTGTTGTTTATCCAACCCCCCTTTCCTATCATTCTTCTATAGCAGGAGCAGGAAGCAAAGTGAAATATTCAAGGTTTATCCCACCATGCAGAGCAGCTGTTACCTGAGGCAACTTCCACACCTAAATGAAAATGACTCATAATAACTTCTGCACTAGAATGTATACAGACTATTGTAACTTTACCATTGGTCACTACTATGCCCAAGAAGCAAAGACTATCAACACTTGCTCCCAAACTTCTTATCTTGTGGTATACAAAGAAGAGACAAAGGAAATGTGGAAAAACCTGCCAGATCCAAGACTTGAACTGCCTCAGAAGGGACTGAGGGAGGGAAGGAGGGAAGGAGGGAAGAAGGGAGGGAGGGAGGGAGGGAGGAAAGCTTGAGTAAATCTACCATTCTAGATACAGAAATATATTTACTTTAATGAAGATGTGACTACCCGATTTTTATACAATTCATTCTATATAACGAAAATAAAATTAATGTAGAGGTTGTATTGTTCAGCAATATCTCCTGACTAGTTTCTATTATCCATAAAAAGTACAGTATGGTTTAATTATGCAATGAATGCTTAATATTTGGTAAACTTACATGTGTGGTGATATTGTGTTCCCCAATGTATTGTGCACCTTAATAAATTTATCTGGGGTCAGAGAACGGAACAGCCACTAGATATAGAGACCAGAAAATGGTGGCACACATGCCTTTAATCTTAGTATTCCAAAGGCAGAAATCCATCTGGATCTCTGTGAGTTCAAAGCTACACTGGAAACAGCCAGGCATGGTGACAAACGCCTTTAATCCCAGGAAGTGATAGCAGGAAGCAGAAAGGTGTATAAGGCGTGAGAACCAAGAACTAGAGCCTGGTTAAGCTTTTAGGCTTTTAGCAGCAGTTCAACTGAGATCCATTTGGATGAGGACACAGAGACTTCCAGTCTTAGGAAACAGGATCAGCTGAGGAGTTGGCGAGGTGAGGCTGGCTGTGGCTTGCTCTGTTTCTCTGATCTTTCAGCATTCACCCCAATACCTGGCTCCAGGTTGTTTTCATTAACAAGAAATTTTAAGATTCGTGCTACATAGATATTTCAAAATTGACTTACCTAATGCTTTTGTGTAATGTCTGTCTCATTTTGGAATTTATGACATTTTTTTCAATACACAAATTCCTAGAGGTAAAAATGTGGGAAGGAATGTTGCATTAGTTGTTTTCAAGTGCTCAGTAGCCTGTAGCTTTGCCCTGTAACTACTTATATTGATGAATAAAAGGTATTATTAATGACGCACACAAAGTTGTATGGATGGGTCTGATAAACACTCCATAGTTGAGTCTTGGATGCAATCCTAATATGCATCCTAAACAGGAGAGTTTGTGAGAAGCTGTTACATTTGGACATAATTGGAAAAAAGAATTTTCAGGAAGGAAGGGAGGCAAGTCTAGGTGATTTTGGAGCTCTATTCTTAGCAACTGGCTCTGCCAGGATGTCCAGACTGGGTAGAACAGACTCTGGCAGGGAACACCTTGTCTACAAACCTTCAGTTGAAAATTCTTCTGCCCATTTTAATGTTAGTCAGCCCTCCATGTGTACAGAAAAATACCTGAGATAATTAACGTACATAAAAAATTATTTAGCTCACAATTCTTGAAGTTTAAGCCCCAAACTAAGTGAACTATTGATTTTAGGTCCCTGGTTCAAGAGCCATAGTCAAAGCATGGCAGAGCTAAGTGCTCACTGTTGTGGGAAAATATTTTTGTACACTGTAAAGATGTGCCTCTGCCTAAGGCATCTTCTGATTGGTTCAATAAAGAGATGAATGGCCAATAGCTAGGCAGGAGAGAACAGACGGCATTTCTAGGGGAGAGAGAGGAATTGGAGATGAATCTAGGTACATGAGAGATGCCAGAAAGACTATGAAGAAGTTGGACATAAAGTACAGAGCAGAGATAACTGAGCCTCATGATAGAATGTAGATTAACAGAAACAGGTTAATTTTTTGTTACAAGAGTTAGTTGGGAAAAGGCCTAAGCTAAGGTCAAGCTTTCATAATTAATAAGTCTCCATGTTGTTATTTGCAGGCTGGTCGTCCTACAAAG